AAATTCTTACCAAAGAAGTAGTAACAGATGTATGTCAGAAGGAAGAAAACTGAAGCTAGAAAGGAGTGAGATGTAAGAAGGGTCGGTAGGTAAAGAACGCAGGTGAAGATAAACAGTCAGTGACCAGATACAGTAGTCCTGGTGTTAACTGATTTGCTGAGTGATAGGCACCAGGCAGGACAAATATATTATGAAAGGTGCATGGGACAAAGGCTAAGGCATTATAAGGACTTTGTATTGTTCAAGGGTAAAGATACTGGCTAACTCTAAACTTTAATTACAAAGGAATACAAATAGAATTTAAAACTTTCAAACTAGTAGAGGGAAGAGAAGAATAAAGAAGGCTTGAGGCAGAAAAGAAGAAAAAAGGAAGCATAGAAATAGAAGAGAAGGTTGGGAGCAGTGGCTCATGCCTGTAATTCTAAACTTTGGGAGGCTGAGGCCGCCGGATTGCCTGAGCTCAGGAGTTTGAGACCAGCCTGGGCAACATGATGAAACCCCATCTCTACTAAAATATAGGAAAAAAAAAAAAAATAGCTGGGTGTGGCAGCACGCGCCTGTAATCCCAGTTATTTGGGAGGCTGAGGCAGAAGAACTGCTTGAACCTAGGAGGCACAGGTTGCAGTGAGCCAAGATCTTGCCACTGCAGTACAACCTGGTGACAGAGCAAGACTCTCTCTCTCTCTCTCTCTCTCAAAAAAAAAAAGAAAACACAAAATAAGGTGAGAAAAATAAATGCAAACATGTCAGTAAATAGAATAAATTAAAATTAATCAAATCTAATAGTTAAAAGAGATTAACGGGTCAGATTAAAATATCTAGTTTATGTTAGTTCTAAGATATTCACATAAGGACAAAGGCTGCATATATGAGGAGAGAAACAGATAAGCCAGGAAAATATTAGAAGAAATCTGGGCTGAGCACAATGGCTCACGCCTGTAATCCCAGCACTTTGGGAGGCTGAGGTGGGTGGATCAACTGAGGTTAGGAGTTCGAGACCAGCCTGGCCAACATGGTGAGATCCCGTCTCTACTAAAAAATACAAAAAATAGCCAGGTGTGGTGGTGGGCGCCTGTAATCCCAGCTACTCGGGAGGCTGAGGCAGGAGAATTACTAGAACCTGGGAAGCGGAGGTTGCAGTGAGCTAAGATTGCGCCATTGCACTCCAGCCTCCAGCCTGCCTCCAGCCTGGGCATCAACAGCAAAACTCCGTCTCAAAAATAAAAAAAAAACACAAAAAAAGAAAGGAATCCGGTAGCACAATAAAATCAGATAAAATAGAGATGGGGAAGAACAGTGGAAATAAAGAGAATTCTTATATAATAATACTTAGAAAAAATTATCCAGAATATTCTAGCTTGTACGCACCTAATAACATGGCCGCAGGACCTCCAAATACAAAAAGAATTAAGAAGCTTGATCTGTAATTAACATACACAGACACAGAACTCTGTACCCAACAATAGCCACCATTCCAAGCACACAGGCAATATTTACAAAAACTGACCTGTACCAGGCCCCAAAGCAAATCTTGACCAGTGTCAGAGAATCAAAATCATATAGTCCACGTTCTCTGACCACAAATGCAAATAAGATAGAGACCAGCAACCAAAAGTCACCAGAAAAGACCATTGTGGCTGCTAGGTAGAGAATGGGCAGTAGGTGGGGCACAATGGAAGCAGCTCAGTCCCAGGAATGGGTGCAGCGAGGTGGACAGGACAAGGGTGGGAAGAGCACGATAGAAGGAAGTGACTGACCATGTTGTTTGGTTAGGTGCAGCCCACACCCAGTACAGTGCCAGGTAGCTAGCGATTGCCAGAATCCAGGTTTCTTCTAAAAAAGAGAGTGAGATGCTAAATAAATGCTAGTTGAATGTGTTGGAATGAGCTGAAGCTCCGACCACACAGTGGGTTTCCGTGACCTGATAATGAACACCTCACCCCAGTTTACTGCGAGGTCAGCCAGCTCCAGGCCTATCCACCTGCTAAAATCTCCATGTCTCACATTCCTGCCCTTGTGGCTCATTATTTTGTAAACATTTTAATGAAATGTCTAATATAAGACTATACTAGGTGTTCCACACCTGTTACCTCATTTAATTCACCCCAAACCCTGTAAATTCAATCCAGTGAACTACACTGCTACAGATGAGGAAACAGGCAGGGCTCAGAGAGCTGAAGTAACTTAGATGAGGGTCATTCATCTACTAGGCTATGTAGACACTCATCTCCCCTACTGCCTTTTCTTGCCCCCTTAGACAAGCAGTACGCTGTCTTGGTTTAGGGATTAAGGATACTAATTCAAGTCCCAGATCTGTGACTCAGCAGCCGTGGGTCCTTGTGCAAGTAATTTAACTGTTTCGCACCTCAGTTTATCCACATATAAAATGGGGATGATGATCATATAGCAGCTGCCACAAAGGGCTGTTATCAACACTAAATGGGTTAATACATAGGAAGTGCTTACAAGAGTGCCAAACATACAGTAAACTTCCCACAAATATTACCTGTTCAGCAATATTTACCTGTTTAAAAGAATCAGTTGCCGGCACTGAAGGCAAAAACTCTGTGTAAACACTCTGCCCATTACAAATGTTACAGCAGTCAGTTTGTAACACTACCACTTTGGGAGGCTGAGGCAGGAAGATCGCTTGAGGTGAAGCACTTAAGACCAATCTGGCAAACATAGCAGAACCCTGTCTCTACTAAAAATACAAAAATCAGCCAGGACTGGTGGTGCACACCTGATTCCCAGCTACTTGGGAGGCTGAGGCACAAGAATTGCTTGAACCCGGGAGGCAGAGGTTGCAGCGAGCCAAGATCATGCCACTGCACTCCAGCCTGGGCGACAGAGCAAGACTCTGTCTCAGAAAAAAGAATCAGTTAAGATCCCCAGAACAGAGTTGGCCAAATTCATCAAAATGGAACCAGAGGCTGGGCATGGTGGCTCACACCTATAATCCCAACACTTAGGGAGGCCAAGGCAGGTGGATCACCTGAGGTCAGGAGTTCAAGACCAGCCTGGCCAACATGGCCAAACCCCATCTCTACTAAAAAATACAAAAATTAGTTGGGCATGGTGGTGGGCGCCTGTAACTTCAGGTACTCAGGAGGCTGAAGCAGGAGAACTGCTTGAACCTGGGAGGCGGAGACCGCAGTGCGCTGAAATGAGGCCACTGCACTCCACCCTGGGTGACAGCGGAAAAAAAGAAAAAAAAAAAAAAAGGACCAGAAAAGCGGGAAGGCACAGACTGCCTTCCAGTTAAACATGCAGATATTATAGTTACATTCACTAAATGTTCACCCACAGATGAACATCACCTGATTTGTCTGTCTCAAGACATTCAGACAACCAGATTCTGGAGTGTCCCTAAAAGACTGTTACTAGGATACACAGTACACGCCCACATCTTGACCATCTCACCTCAAGCAGGGTTTCTCAACCAAGGCACCACTCGAATTTTAAGCTGGGTAATTCTTTGTCATGGGGGTCTGTCTTGTATGCACTGCAAAAAGTTTAGCAGTATCCCTGGCGTCTATCCACAAGAAACCAGTAGCAACACTCGACACCCCCATCCCAAGTTGTGACAGGCAAAAATGTCTCCAGATTGAGCCAAATATCCTGAGAGACAAAATCACTCCTAGATAAGAACCAACAGCTCTAGTTTGCAGAACTGACTTTTCCAATGGGATGCAAAGCAGACCCTTTGTCCCAAGTTCTAGTGGCCTTAATATAATCGCTGGGGCAGGCGTCCGGTGAAGAAGGATGGTGGCAACAGATCCCGCAGGGCATCACACAGCCCACCTTACTCCCACACATGGTGCATGCAGATAAGCTGGAAGGCAGAACACAGTGGCCATTTCAGTCTTGGCTAATGAGAAGAAGCTACAAGGAAATCTGAGTGGGCACTTAAAACGCTCTGCCTCCAGAAACCGACTGCTGTAACATTTGCAATGGGCAGAACGTTTACACGGAGCTTTCGCCTTCAATTCGCCAAGCTTTCAGTGTCCGTTAATATTCCCAAAGGGCAGGGTTGGCCCTCTTCCATCTTCAAGACGATTCGAGTTTCCTGGTGAACAAAAATGAGCCTCTAATGCCTAATATTTTCTCTCTGACAGATGGTTTCAGATGTATGAAAGTGCTAATCCTTGCTGAGATATAGGTCTCAAGGAAGAAGAGTTTGGCTTTTAGAATGATAGGACTGGAATGATTAAGAAGGAAAATTACTCCCAGGATATTCACCATTACCATGTGAGCAACCGGCTTAAAACGAAGGAAACCAGCAGAATCGGAAAAACAATTTGAGGAAAAAGAAGAGAAAAAACTAAAAGCCCCAGGTTAACATTTGGGTTTGAAACAGTCCCGCTCAAAAAACATCTTTGGGAGTGGAAATGAAGTGCAGTAAAAGCACCTTTCTGCTCAGGAGGATCAGGGTTCCATCTGGCTCCCCCAGTCACCATTTCCAGCCTAAATGCTCCAAGAAGACTCCGGACAGAGGCCTGGGGTAGGATATATTTGCCTTGTTACTTGCTGTGTGACCTTGGGAACGTTATAAAACCTCTGAGCCTCAGTTCCCTTATTTGTAAAATGGGTATGCTTTACATACACACTTCAAGGTGAGCTTGTGCAAATGAAACGATCCAACATATGCCTAACCTGACGTATAATAGGCATGCAGTGAATTTTAACTGTAAATAGGAACTAGTACTTAGCGTTGACTTATGAGAGGACTGCTTTCATATACATGACCACCTGAGTCTCACAGGAGGCTCGGCACTTTACTATAGATGATGTAGCTATTAATATTCACAGATGAGGATACTGAGGGTCCCAGAGGTTGAGCAACTTGTCCACGGTCACAAAGCTGCACATGGCAGGATTCGAACCTGGCTCTCCCTAACCCTCGAGCCAAGTTCTTTCCACGGCACCACGTGGAGCTGACGGAGGGGGAGGTGTGTGGGGGGGGGTCAGGTCACCGCACGGGGTCAGAGATCACTCACTGTAGTCTTCCAATCTCATTAGGGGTCGGAAGTAGATGGGATAGAAGGCGGCGCCGATCAGGGAGACGAAGCCGCCGAAAATGAGCGCGGTGCGCAGGTTCCGGGACATGGCGTTGCGCCCCGGGCTGCCCTGACCCGCCGACCGCCCCGCACTCTCGGAAACCTGGCTACCGACAGCCGGCCCGTGACCCCGCTGGGAAGAGGATGAGAGGCTTTCGCTTCCGGGCCTTGGGGGAGGGACGAGGAGGAGGGGCGAAGCGGGGAGCGAGGAAGGGGTGGACTCAGAGGCGGGGCCTCATGACTGGAAGGGGCGGGGCCATGAAAGGGGTGGGGTCACAGGCGGAGCCTCGGACCCCGCCCTCCACCTTCCCCGGGCTTCCGTGCTGTGCTGGCCAGGTGCTGGCGTTGGTTTGAGGTTGGAGCTGTTTTGCTGCGCTCGATTCCTGCGGGCCCTGTTCTGTCTGCTTTCCTTCCTTCGGCCCGGTTCCTCCTTCAGCATCTCCACCCAGCACCCTCCAGACCTCCTTTACCATCCCCTTCTTAACCAGCCACCTTTCTCGTCCATCCCCCATTAATTTCTTATTTAGCGACTGTCCGCGGTGCGCCGGATGCTCTCTGTCGCTTGCGCAATTAATCCTTGTATCAGTCGGCTTAGTTTACAGGAGAGGGAACCGCGGCTCCGCTGCGCGGCTTTGGACGACTCACTCGTCCTTCTTGAGGGAGGTTTGTACGTATGAGTGACAAAGGGGCAAATCTCTGGCCCGAGAGGGCCTGCTGGGGGATTCTAAAACCGGAGCCCCGGGGCTTCTGCACCAAGACTAGCCTAGGAGGAACGTTGTTTCAGCATCCCAGCTACTCTCTTTTTCCATCCCATCCTCTCTCCCTGTTGCCTGTGCTGGGATGCCTTGGCCAAGGCAGAGAGCCAGCGTCTGGTTCCATCCATGGGGCCACGGAGCACTGCCATACTGTCTGGGTGGGGGCCACTGAGGACAGATACCTGTTTCCTCTTCCTCAAGTTGCCATCCTCTGCCCTCTGCACCTCACTGCCCTTACAGGTGGGCTGTGCCTGACTGTGACTTGCACAGGGAGACTGCGCAGCTGAGACCCAGATTCCTTGGGCCTCCACGCCTTTATAAGCAGGAATCATGCCAGCAGCTGGGCCTGAGGAGCAAAGAGGATATCTATCTTGACCCTAGCAGCATTATTTAGGCCACGACAGATCTACAAGCGTTTCAAAATAGCTTGGAGAGGACAGGTTTCCTCTGTCTTTGTAATCTTGTAGTTGCACCAAGCTACCGTCTACCTCTGTGGCTCCAGAAGCATGTAAATCAGTTATCCAATCTCTCCCCAGATTCATGGACTATCTGCCATGCCCCGAACACCAGGCAGAGTGCTAAGGGGACACGAAGATGAATAAGATGTGACCGCTGCTCTCCAGGATCCTGTCACATAGATGAAGAGAGAGAACATATCCATAAGAAGATAACTAATGACCGACATGGCCTGCTGCCGACACGTGTTATGGTCCTGTGGGCTACAGAAATTCAGAGGAGGAAGACAGATGACTGCAGTGTGGCAGCTGCTCCTCGGGCACTTCCAGGAGCTTGTTAGGGTGAGGACAGAAGACTTCATAACACAGAGGGAACCTGTGACACCGGCTTTATATCACACGATAGAAAATACCCAGGTGAGGGCGGGGGACAGTGGCTCACGCCTGTAATCCCAGCATTTTGGGAGGCCGAGGTGGGTGGATCATGAGGTCAGGAGTTCGAGACTAGCCTGGCCAACATGGTGAAACCCCGTCTCTACTAAAAATACAAAAAAATTAGCCAGGTGTGGTGGCACATGCCTGTAGGCCCAGCTACCTGGGAGGCTGAGGCAGGAGAATAACTGGAACCTGGAAGGTGGAGCTTGCAGTGAGCCGAGATCCTACCACTGCACTCCAGCCTGGGTGACAGTGAGACTCTGTTGCAAAAGAAAAAAAAGAAAGAAAATACCCAGGTGTAGTGGGTATCTACATTGTATCAGCCCAGTGGCCACTTCCCTTTTTTCTGTGAATAGTACCCCAAATATCTTTCTGGGACCCACTTTTTTCCCACTCTTAGTCCATGAGATAAGCTAGGGCTCCCCATCCTCATCCTACTTCTTCCCAGCTCTGAGAGTTAAGCATAAGGGCCTGACCAAGCTTCCTTATCACAGGGATTGGTTGGCACCCAGGACTCAGTCTTGAGGTTAGTACTGATTGGGAATCAGTCCTGAACACCCAATGTAGTTGCATCCTCCTGGCCACGTGACTGAAGCTGAGCCAACCATAGTCTATCCCAGCTGTTGGAAAGTTGGATTTGAACTTGAGCAAATGAGACTCGAGCTACTGGGGGCCATCATTTAGGGACTGAAAAGGAAGTCAGTACAGCAGAAGGAGGGCTGAGAGATGGGGAGAAATCAGATGCTAATGTTGATTTGCGCCAGCTGTATCTCAAAGAAGATCTACTCCTAGACTGCTCAGTAACATGAGCAATAGGGTCCCCCTTTCTCTGAAGCCAGTTTGAGTTGGGTTCTGTCTTTTACAACAGAAGGAGTTCCAGATGAAATCTCTGAGGATGTGACTCCACTTGGATAACACCTCCCTGAGCTGCAAGGCAAGGATTACTCTATTTTATAGATCTGGTCACTGACAGCCAGAGACCAGAACTCTCCTGAGGTCACACAGCATTGTCCGAGGTCTTAGCTCTTGTGATGTCTGACCTGATATACTCCTCCATGAGATCTTGCTGTCTCCATGAGCAAGCTTGGCAGGATGGCCAGCCAAGCCCTGCTCACAGGCACCTGCAAGCCAGTAAGGAGGGTTGCCAGGAGAATAGGGCATCCTGGTGAGGTACCGGGAGTGCCTCTAAGACAGAGACAAGTCCATTGGGGCAGATGAGCTTCTCCCTCTCCAAGGTGATGTGCCAAGTGACTCATGGTTTCTCTCATCTCCTTGATGCTGATCTAAAGGTGTTAGTTGACCAGCAGAAATGATTAGGTTGTCTAGATCATTCATATAGATAATTGACATCAACACACCAGAAAACAGTTACCTATTACTTACTTGCCACCAAGTCCTGCCAAATGCAAGCTCATCTCTTTGATTCCAATGTTTTCCCCATTTCTGAGAAAACCACACTCCTTCAGTTTTTCTTTTCCCACTGACCTATCAGTTAAATCAGCAAATACTTACTGTGTGCCTACTCCCACGCAAAACATTGGACTAGTTGATTGGGAACACAGAAGGAATCATTCAATATTTGTGAATTCAATAGTGGTTCATTGAGCCAGGCACAACATACCAGACACTTTTCAGGTGCTGGCGAACACAACTGTGAGGAAAACAGCAGAATCTATTGTCCTCGTGGTGTCCACAGTCTGGTGGAGGGATAAGATGTAGCAAAGGATTGTAATTGCTTTTTGGCCACCCAGTTTCCCTTAATAAAAGCTCCTGATGTCTTTTGGAGAATGACCTCTCATCTTGGCCTTTTTGGATGGACTGCAGTTTCAGGGGCCTTGTGTATTCCTAATCAATACTAACATCAAGATTAGTAGAACACTTGCCCTCTGTAGTCAGTATCACAGGTTTGCTCATTGAGTGCTCACCAATACCTATGGATAGGTATCCTCATGTTCAGAGAGGGAAACTGGGGCATACTGAGAATGACTTGGTCACGTGGCTGGTAAATGGCAGAGCCAGGATTCAAACCCAGCCTGGCTAGTTCCAGATACTGCTCTTAACCACCAATCTACAATGCTTTGTGATGTCAGGGAGCTTGTGTTGCCTGGGTGTGGGGACGATCCAACTGGATCATTTGGTCCAATTGTACTTTTTCTCCCGGAAATAAGGACCATGAAAATAGTGATGCAAAGATGGACAGCATTGTTGCAGTAGCTGTCTTCCGTTGCTAATGTTCTGATGTGATTGTCGTATACCTCCCACTTGCCTGTAATCCTGGAGCTTCCCTGGTTGTTTCCCCTTGCAATCTGATTCTTGAGTGTTCATTATATTCTGCAGGCCACCCCACATGCTTTCAATAAACTCCCTTTGGACTTAAATTGGAGTCAGTTTCAGTGGCATGCCACCAGGAGTGCTAACAGATACAGAAATTAACACAATTACCTCCTACACATGGCATGGATGAAAGCACTTGGGGCTTCGTCACTGTGCTAATGTTTGGGAAAGGCAAAGGAGGTTTGAGTTTGGGGGAACGTATTTGTGCAAAGGGAGAGAGAGCTCCAGGGATGTAGGGAGATAGGATGCAAGTCAGATATGTTGGCAGCCCTAGGGTGCATATTTTCATCTCAATCACTGGGGAAAGAATTGGGTTGGGCTTCTCTCCAGCACTTTCTCCTCTTCCCTTGGATGTGAAGATTGAATGCTTGCAGGGAGCAGACCGCCAGTGGTGTATCGCACAGGGTTCAGACAGACATCAAAGTTAATCCGCTCTCTGATCTAAGCAAAATGATGATGAGGGTTTCCTGGGACAGCAGCTTTACTAATTGTGGCACTGCAGCCTAGCGAATGTATTTTTAGAATGTTGTGGATTCCCAAGAAATAATGTTCCTGGCTGTAGAAAAACAGACTTGAAGCTTGGGGCTTGAAACAGAGTGGAAGCTCATGCAGAACCTCTGGGCTAGTGTTGCTGAGAATAAGAAAGTAAGTGGGGAAAATGCTTCTCTGTTTTTATGGGGTTCTGTGACTTGCTGAGTCTCTGCCCATCTATATAAGTATATATAGGTTTTTCTTCTTTGTTTGACTCTTTCCATGTAAGAGATTTCCCCAAATGTCCATCTCAGCTAATCTGTTGCTATGCTCTGCACCCCATAATTTTAAATCATGCCTTTATGACTTCCAGACTATTTGCTCTGCTGAACTCCAGCATCACTTGCCTGGTGGACAGCTTCAGGTTCAAGGCCCACTTGCTCCTACTCTTCCTCACTGTCATTGACCTTGGCTTGACTTGAGTCCTCATCAGCTCTCCCTTCCTATGGCTTCCTAACTGGTCTTGTGTGTCCTCTTCCATCAGTAAACTGTCTTATTCACAGGGTGATATGGTTTGGCTGTGTCCCCACCCAAATCTCATCTTGAATTGTAGCTCCCACAATTCTCGTGTGTTGTGGGAGGGACCTGGTGGGAGGTAATTGGGGATGGGTCTTTCCTATGCTGTTCTCATGATAGTGAATAAGTCTCATGAGATCTGATGGTTTTATAAAGGGGTGTTTCCCTGCACAAGTTCTCTTCTCTTGTCTTCTGCCATGTGAGACGTGCCCCTCACCTTCTGCCATGATTGTGAGGCCTCCCCAGCCATGTGGAACTGTAAGTTCATTAAACCTCCTTCTTTTGTAAATTGCCCAGTCTTGGGTATGTCTTTATCAGCAGCGTGAAAACAGACTAATACACAAGGTGATTAAAATTACCTTCTGAAGACATAGATCTGGTCCATCACTGCCCTGACCGGAAGCCTAAAGTTATTGTCAACAGGTCATTAAAGGTACCCACTGCATCCATGCGCCTCTGCTGAGTGAGACAATGGTTCTCTGTATCTAGGTTGCTGTACTCTGTGCCTGTGGTCACAGCTGATGGAGCTATGTGGATGTCTGACCCAGACCAGAGTTAAAGGTCAGAACCTCTGCCTAAATGGAGAATGGGCTGACCTAATCAGATTCTCTGTTTCTGGAACTTCAACTGGAAAACCAGGGAGAATCAGGAGGTCAGCCAAAGGAACAGACGGTGGTCAGATGCACAAAGAAACACAGTAGCAGCTCGAGGGGAGCTGTGAGTAAGCCGTGGTTATGAGTCAGCAGGAGCTGTGAGAAGAAAGCTCTTAGCGAGTAGATGGGGTGGGAA